AAACAAGCGACAAAAACAAAGGCGAGGAAGCTATCAACTCTTCAAGCAACCAACGAACGAGAAGGAATGCGTGAATATGTCAACACGTTGTTGTAAGAAACGTCGGCATTGTGTCGTCATAATTTCGGGGCTAGCCCCGATGATTTAGTAAAAGAAACAGAAAACAAACGAGACAAACGCGGCGAGTGGAAGATAAAAGAGAGAATACGATATACAATGAGCAACCGGGGCAAAATCGGCGTCGCCCCGTCGACGTTCGGCGAAGACTTTGCGAGCGAAAAATGAACCATGTCGGGAGAATATGGCTAGTGTAGACAGACTGTGCAACCGATATTGAGGTATTTTTCGAATATTTTTTATTATGCCGAAAAAACAACCGGCACTATTGACGCGCCGCCACTGCCTACGCACCTGCTGTTGTTCGGTACTTCTTAGGTGTTATCGACTCAAATGTAAAATAAGCTGCTGATGTTGAAGATGTGCTGTTACAGTATTTTGTTGCTTTATCAGTTTTCGTGATGTAATCGGTATGACTCCCATTATCGGTTGTGTTTGCTAACAAACCAGTGATGTCATCGTCAGTTGCTAAGGTGTAATCGATAAAGTTATCAGTATTGGATAGAGCAGAAGTAGATGCGTCGCTTGCTGCTGTTGACAAAAACTGTGATGTCGTGAACACATTTGTGACGTCATCAGTTGTGTCCACTAATTTTGTAATGTCGGGCGAGTGCAACTCGTTGTAGTATCGAAAATAGGACGAAATGGTAACAGAATCATTCTGGTTTTCCAACAATACCGATTCCAACTTTTGCGCCAGTTTTTCTCGTAGTTCTGCAATCAAAATCATTGAGTCTTGAGGGAATGGTTAGGCTATTGATCTAACACGCCCTCGCATTGATTACGAGTTATAATGAAATTTTCGCATGCTTAAAAGTTGGTATTTTTCCTTAAAAAATAATTAGTAGTTAAAGATAAAATTGAAGTAAAATATCTCATGTTTATGCAATCTTGTGCTGCTTGCTCTCTTGATGTTACATATTGCTAGGAATATTGCCTCAGGTCAAAGTTAGTTGAATTCAGTTTATTCTTTGTTATTTAATTAAGTTTATTTCAGTCCAGTTCGTAATAAACTCATTCTCACCTTCCTCGTTTGATGCCTGTTATATAAAGGTAAAATAAGCATTAGTGTATGAAGAGCTAAAGATAGAAAAATCACGCGATAGTAACCTGCCTCACCGTGAAACTGTCTTTACCGCATAATGAACTGTCTGACCCTTTTCCTAATTGAACGTTCACAGAAATATCAACTGCAATAAATATTTACAATTTTGCTTTAGTTCGGTGAAAATTTTTTTAATGGGTGCCTAAGCATGTGTGCATCATGAGTCATGGAAATACGATTTGAACTCTAATCAATCTAACAATCGATTCATAGACATGTTTTAATAAATCTGTGACAGACTGAGCCGAAGCAGAAACATTCCGGTATTCTGAACCCTATGATGAGGAACAATAAGAAAACCATCACCAAATCAACAAACACAACCCAGGAATTGCAACTAAATATACTAATTATACTTCAATATTCTGTTTTCATCATATATAGAAATGTGACAAATTGGTCGGAACCCAAATGAATATTTATATATACGTCTTCGAATCATGCCCAAAAGGTATTGTTCAATCGTTCTACTGATGAGTTTAACTAGGATATGACTACATGCTTGGCTCGCATGACAAGAAGGCCTCCGCATTTCGAATCGCTGCCATCTTGTTTTTATTTGGCCGCCATAGATCGGAGTGAATTCCTGATTTTTTTTATTTTCAAGCCATATTTTGAAATACATCTCTTTTCTTTCCAGGGATTTATGGATATATATTTGAAGTATATTTCTTATTGTGTGTGAACACCAGCTAACCGTCTGAATTGATTGATCATTCATTGTTTTTTTGTAAACTAATTTATGTGTCTGGAGGACCCATTACAATAAAAAAAATAGACACATACAATTAGCCTACATATCTTCCAGGTATTCGAGATTCGATCCGGCAAAATATTCGAAAATGACAACATGCTTTGCTAAGAATTATGGTAGTGAATCCGCCGTGTTTCAATCTATGAATCAGACTTGAAAACTGGAATAACTTATTCAACCTAAAATCTGTGATTATTTACTGTTCAATTGATTTGTTCGTAAGAGCTCAATAGAACAACTATTCTAGAAGAGTTTGGTTTGTATTTCCAGATTTCAATCTTCCAAAACGTTAACTCCTGATTCCTGAATGATGGTATATTCATATGAGCACAAAACTTCAATATTACCTGTTACCGCACTCTTCATGCCGATAATGAGAATAAATAGTGCAGAAAACATACTTAACAAATTACACAACGGTGCCACAGATTGCCGTACCCACCATCAGAATGAAATCTACCGGTGGTATACAGCGGTTGATAAACGCAATGTAATGTTGTTTAATTAAAAGGGCATCTCAGAACAACTTTGAGTCACAAACAAACACGAAATAGATTTCAGTTCAGTTCACGCCCGTCGGGTATGTTATGAAATTATGAAAAATCGTTTTGATTAATAGGTTATAGACTGAATCCTCTCAATAATTTTTGAGTCTCATTAGTAATCAGTTTCAAACTAATTTCACAAATGGGGCGCTGTTAACGTTAATGCTGTCAACTGAAACGTAGAGAGTGATTGTTTTTCTACAGCAGAATGCGAGGTTTTACATTTAATATCGTTTAACATGCCGTAGAATTGTCAAGCCGGAATCGAATTGGAACAATGGGGTGAGGGTTCGGACCCCCCCCCCCCTTTTTTTTTTTGAAATGTGAAAATAATCATTTTATGTATCATGTATAGCAATTTTTCGTAGTTTGAAACGCTTTTAGACTCTCGATACTCACGTTTCCCTTCCGGACCCGCTAGCTGATATAGTCAGTTCAGACCACCACCCCCAAACCCTCCTTCAAAATTCCTGTTTACGACCCTGGATTTTAAAATCAATTTGATTAATTTCAATCATGTTGAATTTTGAGCCGTATATTTGAGTGAACTCCCGTTGAGGAGGAGTTATCCAATTCAACAAAACATCTTTTCATTGCTCTCAACACTATACTATCATAATAGTAGATCATGCGTAATTTAACATGAACTACATCAGCGGATCTCAAACTTTTCAAAAGATTTTGTATAACGTTCCCCTTCCAATTTTTCTGATGACTCGCGGTCCACTGAATAATTGAAATCAAAGACTGTCTTTTTTCAAAATTTTTTTTTTACAAAAATAACACTTAGGCTTGTTTTGGGGGATGTCTTTTTTCATTTATCAAAAACAAAATTAGAAAGTAGAGAATTACGAGAGTTGTAAATATACAAAATATGAAAACCGATATATAACCATTTAGCCTACTTATAAATAACACTTTTTTATTGGTAATAACTGCTAAACATAGATTATTAAACGAGTAGGAATCTACTAGGTAAAAAAAAATGCGCCATCGGCTAGGTGTTAACAGTTATTTGCATATAGATGTTGTTTACCGCAGAACTGTAATAAAAAAGCAAACAAGCAAAAAGATAAATATAGCAGCTGTGCAAGCGTACAAATAAAATAAGTTAATTTGACTGCAAATGCGAGTAAGAGTAAACATGTAAATGAACTTGATAGGCTTTGGCACTTACCTACGTCACATGTTAAAATTTATCGGAGAAGTTGTAATGCTTCTTCCTTAGCATACTTTCGTTATTCACGGCGAAAAATAACAAAAAGATGAGAGCGTAATTCACTGTGGAACGGTGCCTTAACTCACCAGTACCACACCGTACTGATCGAACGTGGAATGGTTCTTTTTTGGCATATACAAACCCAATTTATTTACTGTTATCAAAATAAAATAATACGTTATTATACAAAACTTGAATTTGTGCAATATTAAGTCACCGTGCTGTGTTAGGGTACCGGAATTGGCCTATCTTCACCAGATACTGTCTTAAGCCAGCTTCAATTGAAATTGCAAGATGATCCGACTTGCAACTGCTGTAACACCAGCGATCCGAAACACTACAATATTACAAGAGAGCTATGCTCAAATATATGGACACGTAGCGCCACCTAATGGCAATAATTTTGATGACGACATAAAAACAAAAAAAAAAGTAATAGCTTTCTGAAGAAAATTTTTATCTTTAACCACTGAAAATTTCAAAGCAATTGGTCCAGTAATCAAAGAGAAAAGCGACTTTTTAAAAACGTGTCAAAGAACACTAACAACAACATAATATTGAAACGATCGCTATTTCCACTACGTGTCCAATAACACCAGGTACGGATACCGCCAACAACTAACATACCGCGCAGATCACAACAACTCTTAGTCTTAGCAGCAAGAATCACGTTCGCTTCTTCGCCGCAATCGCCACAAGATGCCGCTATTTTTCATTCTGATTACCAATTCGCACACAAAAAACGAATCTCTTGAAGTCCGTAGAAAATTTTGAAATAAATTAAGGTAATAGCCTCCTGGAGAAAAAATTTTATCTTTAACCACTGAAAATTTCATAGCAATTGGTTCAGTAATCAAAGAGAAAAGCAATTTCTGCGAGACGGGGGTCTGAGTCGAGGCGTAAATATATACGGTCGAGGCGCTGGTTAGAATCTTCCGTTAAAATAATTTTCCACTTGTTTATAAGTTTCTTTTGAATAGGGCCATTCTGTTAGTTGCGCTAAAAATTTAGGTTTTCATGCGGTCTCGAGAGGTTTGGACGCCGGGCTCAGACTGGACATTTTCAGACTCTGGCATTTTCCGCTAGCAAGAACAACAATTTGACAAAAATCTGTGAACCTTTCCTACGAAATATAATTGGACTGTTTGATACCGGTACTACAAAATTTGAAAGGCGTTGTATTGAGTACTTTTTGTTAAATTTGCAAAAATTTTTTGTCTTTTTTGTGGGTCTGTGAGTCATTGTGTCAAGCATTTATTGAGTAAAATTTGTTTCATTTTTTGCAAGTAGACTACCGTATATTCAGATATTGCTGGTAATATCGTCTTGGTCCGTCATGTCTGAGAGAAAAGTTCTCAACAAATACTATCCCCCGGACTATGATCCTTCATTGATACCCAAGCTCAAGTTAGCTAAAGATAGACAATATGTAATACGTGTTATGGCACCTTTTCATATGCGGTGTAAGACTTGTGGAAATTACATTTACAAAGGAACAAAATTTAATTCAAGAAAAGAAACTGTCCAAGATGATGATTATCTTGGTTTGAGAATTTTTCGATTTTATATCAAATGCACAAAATGTGTTGCTGAAATAACATTCAAAACTGATCCTGAGAATACAGATTATGTTATTGAACATGGTGCCACTCGAAATTTCGAGGCAGAAAAACTTCTCCAAAAACAAGAGAAAGAAATCGAGAAACAAAGGGAAGAAGATGAAGGAAATCCAATGAAACTGCTTGAAATGAGAACAAGGGACTCAAAAAGAGAAATGGAGAGAATGGAAAATCTTGAAGAATTAAGAGATCTCAATCAACGACATGCTAAGGTAGAATTTTCAATATGATGTTCGATGACATTGAAGAATTTGTTACTTCATAAGATTGTGGTTATTCCATATTGTATATTATATTTGTATCTTGTAAATTTTATTTGACTCCCAGTTTTTTAATAAATAGCATACAATGAGGTGTTTATAAAATTTCAGGTTTGTCGAGGGCTAGAATGTTAAAAAACAAATTAAATATTTATATTAATTTAAAATTGATTTCTGGATTAATTTAGAATGTCCCATTCGAAAAATTATTATTTTGAGCAATTTTAGTATCACAGATTTTGAAGTCACAAAGTAAAACTTTACATTACTAATTACTATTTAGATTTGTCCATCCCTGTGCAATGAAGAGAGTGAATATGTCTAATTTATATGAATTTCTTGATGTATCTAGGTCAATTACGAAGGAATGCTACAGAGCTATCAAGAAACAGTGGAAGAAAAAAAAAAGAGAGAAGCAGAAGAAGATGAGGAAGAAATGAAGACTATTTTTGGGAGTAACAAAATAAGACGACTGAATGATAGTGATGATGAAGATGACAAATTTGATGTTAAGAATATTGTGAAAGAAGAAATTAATGCCCCTTCCGATTTATTATTGTCATCAGGAGAAACAAAAATTACTAATAAAAGCACAAAAAGTATTTCTTCTGTTCCTTCTAATAAGGATACTATAAAGAAAAAGGCCCAGCTTTTGGGTATTGTAGTAAAAAAGTCGATCGAAAAATTCCCAAAAATAGATAATTCTAATCATCAATCTGATGATAAATCAGAATTAACCAAAACAATGTCAGTGATTAAAACTGAGAAAACTCTAAAAGATACTGTGCTAGCCAAACCGGCGGGGCTTAGTTTGCTCGGAGCCTATGGAAGTGATGATAGTAACACATCCAGCGATGATGATTAGAATGTATTTTTTCAACAATGAATTCAATCATAACTGCATATTCCTGCACAAATTTGTAAATAAGAATTATGCATCCAGGCTGACAATAAGTTTATACAAACCTTGGGTCGTGGTTCAAGTTAAATCCATTACTTTTTTACTATGAAACCATATGATATGCTTTAGCGTAGGTTAATGCAATGTTAATTGTAATTTATATCAGGGACTTCTAACGAGTGTTTTCACTCACATTTGTTTTTTATATTCTTCTCGACAAGAGTCAGGGTTGCTTAGGACTGGAAGTAGGACTGAGATGAAATTTATATTGACTTTTTTAGCATTAAGTCATGATTTAAACCAGACTATGACCCTTTTTGCTTACTATCAAACATCCTATTTTTCTAAATGTGTGAAGGTTCATTTTTGTCCGCTAATGCAAAAGACCACATTTGTTGGTTTTTGACAATCAGCATTTTCATTTTGCTTGTTATAAATATGTGCTGCTTTGTAAATACAGATTTTTGAAATATAGTGTTTTATGGGTTGCCACACATACTACAAGTCAGTCCATTTGACATATTTGGTTGAACATAGATAACATTTCAAGGGTAATAGTCTATCACTTATTATTAGGATGTGCACCTTTCTTCTGAGTGTGATATTCAATCCAGGTCCTTTTATTTGTAGCTTGTAGAGATCAATATTTAAAAAATTCTCATTTTGCAGTCTGTAAGAAATAATTTATTGCCTATAATAATAGTCAATATTGTTATTTTTCAGGATTGTAATTTCTGGGTTCTATATTTAAACAGAAGATGTCAGATAACGAGGATATCGATGATCCACAGGAGGCATTGTCTGCCAGGCATAAATTGGAGAAAAAAGAATTGCAAGGGAAAATTCAATCCTTGAAAAAGGGAGTTCCGAAAGGAGATAAGAAGAAAAACAAAGAGATGAAAGCGCAAATTGCAATTCTTGAAAGTGAACTTTATGAGAAACATGATAAAGAAATTGCTGAATTGACAGAAAAATTGGAGCTAATGAATAGTGAGGATATGACCGATACTTCAAAGGCTACTAATGAAAATGATGAACCTGGCAGATCAGAACCTTCTCAACAAAGAGTTAGTAAAGCGCAAAAGAAGAGAGAAAAAAAAGCTTTGAAAGTGAAAGAACAAGCTGAAATTGCTGCACAAGCTGAAAAGGACTATGTTAACACACAAAGATATGCAGAAGAGGAAAAAATCAAGACCATATTAACAAAAATGAGTCTAAAGGTGAAGCCCATGATACCTGATGGTAATTGTCTATATTATGCAGTGGAAGATCAGCTGAAGATGAATTTGATGATGTTACATTCACCGAAAGAATTAAGAACATTGACATCAACATTTATGCTTTCTCATGAAGACGATTTTTCCCCTTTTCTAACTAGTTCTGATACAGGCGATTGTTATTCTCCTGAGGAATTCAAACAGTATTGCAAAGATGTTGCAGAGACTACAGCTTGGGGTGGTCAATTGGAACTGCGAGCTTTGTCCCATATCTTACAGACTTCAATTCATGTGATACAAGCAGACATGCCCACTGTAAAAATTGGTGAGGAATATAAAGGAAATCCACTAATACTAACATATCATAGACATGAGCTGGGGCTGGGCGAGCACTATAATTCAGTTCAACCATCAAAACCTGATTCAAATGGACTATCATAGCATATTGTTGTTAATTTTTTGTGCATGACGGTTTATAGCCAGATACAAAGTCTCACACATGTCTATTCAACGGACGAATTGGAATATGTTTTATAATGCAGTTTTCTTCAAACTTTTTTATCACGATCCAATTGGCATGGCAAAATTTCTTCACGACCCTCAGTAACTATAATAAAAAAAATGTAAAATTTAATGATACCGAAAATATTAAAATAAAGTACCGGTAATAAAATTTATAATGCCTTTAATGAGATCGATGTGCTTGCATATTCTCGCACAAAAAGTCGAATCTTGCTTGGGTCTCAATACTGGTTCCAAATTTGATCGATATTTCGTTTTAATGTAAGTTGTCAGTACTTGATAATAATGAAAAATACCGCTACTTCCATTGAGCCCTTCCGTAACCCATCGGGGGTCGGGACCCTCAATTTGAAGAGCCCTTATATATTTCATTATAGATCCTTATCATGAGTAGTGAAATTTTAAATGAGATTGTGCGTAACAAGCATTATTGCTTTCTGATTCAATTTAAACTTCAGTCAGTAATTGAGTTTACTGATACTGATGTGGATCTAGTCTATAATTGCAGAGTACTTTTATTTTGAAGTTATATATTGCTGCTTTCATCAGCAATCATGTTGCTTAAATAGATACTGATAAGATTGTATACATCCAGATAGTATGATTCTAAAATCCAATTGTGAGATTTAATATAAGTTAATGGAGATTTTGAAATTTTTTTCAATTCATCCACAACATTTGAATTGAATAAAGAATTTTTAAACATTAATAAAGCTTTTGATTCACTAAATCAGTGTCGTAATGGCATAATCATGTTTTTTTTTGTTGTTTTTACTGAATGGGCATGAACAGTAGTGCGTGAAACTTTATCTAGATGCAAGAATCTGAGTTCAAATGTTGAAGGAAATATTTCTACCGGAATGTTGCATCCGTTCACAATCAGGAATATTGATTGGTGCTTCAAATGATGACGACACTGTATTATATGTTGTTGCCGTTGTACACTTTCCCGTTACACCAAAGAGTTTGAATGCTTACCTTTCTAAATATGAAAAACTGCATGATACTGTCAAACTACGTCCCTTGGGAACTTGGATTTCTAATGAATCCAAGGAGAAACATGAATTTGAACATATACTACCAAAACTCTTTGGACAAAAGACATGGATTTCCATAAAGATGTCAAAAAACAGTGATGATGAAACCGTTTTTACAGCTGAGGATCTTGAAATACAAAATATCAGTGCATCATCGATATTATTAACAAATCAATATGTAAAAACTAATGCAGATGTTACGGCAGTAATTTACAACCAGAAAGACATCTGGGATGGTGAACTTTGCTCAGATTCGTTTTTGAATGTACACAATTCCAATGGTTCTATTGAAAATTTGTTTGTCTTGATTTCTGCCTGCAAAAATGGGATTCTTTCATATGAATATGGAATAAATTCAAATGATGGCGTTCATGTAACACACTGCTGCATGCAAAGGGAACTCAGCATTATAATTTACCTGCTAACAATATTTATCACTGTGCTACTTGGCTCTATACATCTCCCTTTGTACTACTTCAAGAAAATATATTCAGGTATTTACAAGTCAAATACCTGGATCCAACGTATATGGCAGAGTATAACTGAGTTGTCTAGCTTACTTTCTCATGCAGAAAGGAGGTTTTCGCAATTTGAAGAGAGCATTATGCACTTGTTTGGAAGTCGAAAAAAAGTATTTGATTCTCACAATAAGTATGAAGATAAAGACATACTTAGTACAATATTCGTGGACATGATTTTTGGCGTGGGTTTGTTAGGGAGTCTGTATTATTTTGATTTTCTGCCTTCCACAAGAACTACAAAACAAGCCTTTTTACCTTATGTGGAGTCGATAGCGAATCAGGTGAGAAAGATTTAAAACCAATAACGTATAAATCATTGTAGACTTTTTGAACTTCTGTCCCGACGTTCAAAAACATAAAACATTTGAATTAATTATAGTGAAATTATTTTATACTGGCAATAGCATCAGATTTGTATGACAACTTTATATATTTTATATCTCTGTTGGAAAATGAATTAAATTGAAATATAATGTTTTGTATGTTTAATTTTAGGTTGAAGAATTGATTGAATGGTTAATGGGGTTTCCAGCCGGCTTGAAATTGAACCATCCACTAAACCAATTCTTGGGTAAGAGGCGGTGTGGCATTTTTGGTAGCACATATGATCATTTGCTAAAATAACAATAAATATAACCTTATACTTCATAATATTAACAAAATGTCAATACTGGTCACTTTCTGGTGCGTTAGTAAAATAATTTTTATTGTTTATGTATGAAGATGTTTTTTATTCTAATTTTAAAAAAAATCTGGAACAATTAGGTTTTTTTTTTTTCAGGTCATTTTTTCCTCTATCATGTTCGATTGTGGCTGGAATATTCGAAAATGATGATGGAATTCATTCCTTATCTGATCACATATTGTTTGATGACATCTTGTTTGGGATTGTCTTTTCTCCTTTCTATCATCGCTGATGCAGTTTCGACTTTGAGCTTTCATGTTTATTGTTTTTATGTCTATGCTGGACGTCTGTATGGTCTTCAAGTGAGTAATATTTACTTTCATAAAAAAAACTTTAGAAACTGTTGGGTTTGATTATTCGTTAAGGATTGCTCAAACTTTTCCGTCATTTTAAAGTAATATCTGATGGGAGCTTTGTATGGGAGAACCTTTTTCAATATTTCGCTTTCAGTAACGGTATCGAGTATGAGGCTTTTATGGCGCTTCAGAAGTAGGTACCGGTATGTGTACCAATATAGAGGTAACTAATTTTGTTCGCCTACTTTACATCAAGTTGTGTACAACTGATTATTATGGGCAGGGGGATTTTCACTTGGCTAGCACAGACAGTCCCCGAACTTTTAATGGAACTAAAATAAGGAAAATCGGCATAAAATTATGGCCTAACCCTAACTGGGTACACATACTACGGGAGTACCGCTTTAAATTGCTACTTGCTAATTTTCAGGTGGCCGGTCTGATGTCACTTTGGAGGCTTTTTAGAGGGAAAAAATGGAATCCACTAAGGAAAAGGGTTGATTCATTAGAAGAATCTGGACAACGAGCTGACCAACTGTTTGCCGGAACTCTTTTATTTACAGTATTACTCTTTCTATTACCCACAACAGCTCTGTACTACGGAATATTTATGTTGTTGCGTGTTGCTGTGCTAGCTATTCAGGTTTGTTATTTTGTTTGTATCTAAATTTGATTCCCATAGCATTTTTCCCCGTTAGTCCCGTAGTATGTGTACCAGGTTAGGGTTGGTTAGGCCATGATTTTATTCCGACTTTCCTTATTTTAGTTCTATTACGAGTTCGGGGACTGTTTTGTGTTTAGGCTTCCGTCCCTTTACACAATTTGATGAAAAGTAGGCGAACAAAACTAGTCACCTCCATATTGGTACACATACTTCTAGAGAGCCTTTTTTCTTTATCTCGTGACCAGTAAGAAGCTGCTATTTTCAATATAGCATTTGAGATTGTTCAACTGCAATGGGATTCAAACCCACAGGATGTGCATTTGTAGACGTTAACTTCAAAAGTACTATAATGCCTGCTCAAATACCTAATAATGCTTGTAGTAAATGATAATTGCATGCTTGCTAAAAGATCAGACAAGAAATCCTTGGGCCCCTGTCCACTGACAAGGACAAATGAATCTATAAACGCTTATCTTTATTTTTAGGTTGCTATCAGTGGAGTAGTTTTCATAATATCAGATTTTCCATGGTATTCGATGTTTGTTAGAATCTTCCAACCTCAGAAATTTATCAAATCTATGAAATGTTCCACGCTCCTGCGCAATGGAGATAAACTGAAGTATAAAGCGGATCAAGTGATGATAGTACGCATGGGAATTCAGCCCCAACCTATCAGTACAGTCATAACCACTGCACTAAGTGGAAAAAGATTACCATCAGAAAAATTTCCTGGATTTAGGTCCTTTTTAGGAAAATTAATTTTTGGTGAATTAATAAGGTGGACCTAATATTCATCTGGATATAAAAGATGACTCGAGGTTTTTCGCAGACGAAAAATTCTTGCAACATTGCTGCAAATTTTTTTTGTAAAGCTTCATGTGTGCTGAATTTGTCTGATAAAGCATTGTTACCATGCGGCTTTAACAGGAGTTACCGACTCAACAAATAAATTATCTTTGCTGTTTTATCTTGCTCATTTAAATATTTCTTTACTTCAGTGGTGTAGCGCATCGTGCTAAGCGTCCCGGACACCGTACGCTTGCCAGCGCTCTTCTGATTTCGAATCCGCAGCTTTGAATCTCGTCGTAAATCCTCAGTTGAAGTAGAAAGCAAAAAATGGGTTACCCCAAATCAGTTTATAACATGAAAGATGCCAGATTAGGCACATAACGGCAAAGTATCTCAAACTTGGGGTCGGCGTAGCGATTAAAAATTAATTTTCTCGCTGATCGTGTTTCAAAAAACTCCCACTTTTACTCAAATTGCTAATCCTCCCCAACTCAGTACGCAAGCAACTTTTTTGGTGTTGATTGAATATGAATTTTAATGATACCTTTTGAATGATATTCAAAATATTTTTGCGCTTATGCTTAGCTTATGAAACTAGAAGGGCTACGCGAATGAAGGAGATGTAGGGATTTTTCCATCGCCATCAGTTTGGGCCTCTTTCCTCGGAAAACCTCATTTACAAATTGGAACCGACGTATCTGAATAATCCCATATCAATAATGAGAGTCATATGGCCGAACAATCTCTCCACTAATGAAGCTAAATTGTACAATCTTGTGGTAATTGAATCGACTCTGATGACCATCTATCAAAGAGTTGAGTCATGTAAATGAAACGAATCAGACTCAACTAACCGCCAGTGAGACTCTGATGAATCGCTGATCAGGGACTCCTACCCAACAATTTAGTCCATTAACGTTTCTATTTATTGCTTGAATAAAAACTTCAACACCACAGTATAGATGAAAATCGAAAACAAGATTTCCCATCATACGAATCAGCTGCGCTTGGAGGAGAAATCGCCTTTTAACAACACTAAATTACAAGGAAAAGCTTCAATACTATATACATGCGTATTTCGGAGTCGGGAGTTTCGTATGTTTTCACTGAATTCGGGGTTCAATGGTAATAAAAGAAATCATCATCGTCAATGCGTCTGCTGTCAAAATTACATCTTACCCGAGTTCGGAAAAACTTTTTAGATCCCAAGGTCTTTTTTTTTTAACCCGGGTTCTATCGTAAATGCACTTAGACTCGACAATCCAGATATGCACATTTAATCAATCCATAAGATACGCAAGCTTGTTTTTGCAAGTAAATGAAAAAAAAAGCTGCAAAACATGGTAAATCGATTTTTTATCAAGTTAGAATCAGATTGGCGTTCTAAATCTTGATTCAAAAATTGTAATAATAGTCGTTTTTATTTTTGCATTATACGCATACGGGTTCTACAGCGCAAAACAATATATATATATAAGGGTAATAGTCAGTAGGCAATGGCATATATACCGCAGAAAACCAACTGATAACTCTATGTATTTGTGCAATTTTCGGGACTTCAGTTCGATTAAATTACCATACTTGCGCTTTATGTTGGATAAATCCCCAATCTAAGCAATTTATTGATGGTACGTAGCCTACGCCTTAACCCAATGCGTCTTTTGGTCCGTAAAATAGGGTACTAAGATTAGCTCGGCGTGACACCCCACGGTCTGCGGATCTCGTGCTCGCCGATTTCGAATTTCAAGTCCCGTTGAAACTTGAAGCATGAATCATCGTCACAGGGCCTGGAAAAACTCCACAGTTCCAGCTTGGTTCAAAATACCGTATGATTTTGGGGAATGTATTTAAGCATTGTTCTGTTGTCTTTCTTTGAGCTATAATTTTGTTGCGGTCGTTTCTGCGGGAGCTAACAGTTCGGCTACATATGATTTACTTGTCAACGCCTCTAATTCCTTCTGAATAGCTTTCTGTCTTGTTATCCCGGTCTTCTGCCGTGCCCTTGGAAGAGGCAAGATAACTTCAAATGATTTATCTGATGATCTGGTTCTTGCTTGGCCTTAATTAAAAGAATCACCGAACGTTTTAGAAACTGCCTGAAATTCAAATGAAGTTTTACCAAAATTTGCCGAAAGAGCAGCGAGGCACACCTGGCTCACTTTTGACACTTTCTATCTCAGTTTCATCAACAACGAATTCTACTGTTCTGAGTACCTGCAACACTCTTTAATTTCCCCCCTTTCTGGACAGATTGTACTGCCATTCCAATGCCAGATTCTGTCCGTTTTTTTTATATCAATAAAAAAATATTATATATGTTAAATAAAGACTTTCCGGTATATTATTCATGACGCATTTCTGTGATCACTTGCAAAAGCTATGGTGGCACGGCATTTACAGAATTGGGCGCTCCAGAAGAGTGTGTACCAATATGGAGGTAAATAATTTTGTTCGCCTACTTTACACCAAGTTGTGTGAAAGGACTGAAACCTATATGGACAGAGGGTATTCACTTGACTAACACAGACAGTCCCCAAACACGTAATAGAACTAAAATAAAGAAAATCGGAATGAAATTGGGCCCTAACCTGGTACACACACTACGGGAGTATTCAGAATTGTATCTTGTAATATGCCTATCTTCCCCCATCCTATATTCTATTGTCCCGTGAATGGCAAGTTCCATTTATTTTCACAGATGTCTAAAATCCACACCCGCGCTTTAGTTCACATCACCTCTGCATTAAAGTGCAATTACGTGGGTATTATTATGTTAAGATGACAAAAATTTCGAAGTAGGGCCTACTTTCCAGTGTATTAGAATATTAACTTGTTCCAAAATTCATGGGAATCATTTGGAATCTAGAAATAAAGAAAATTACCGGAAAACTATACATTTTTCAAAAGGATGTGAAGAGTTTCCACAAAACCTAGAAGGGAATTGGTTGGTAACTTCGTATGCTTCGGTAAAGGGAAAATTTGGGCATGTGGGAGAGTGTTTAACTTTTAGAACTTCCAATGAATTTTAATTTTTGAGTCTAGAAAACAATTTTAGCGACCTCGCGTGCAACTCTACGTATGCGTGTTGTTATGTGCTACCTATTGATTTGTTAGTTGAATTTCGGTAATTATGACAAAAAAATGGTACTCCCGTAGTGTGTGTGTGTACGAGGTTCGGGTTAGGTTACAATTTTATTCCGATTATTCCTATTAGTTCTATTACGAGTTCGGGGACTGCCTGTACTTGCCGAGTGAATATACCTCCTGCTCATAAGCTTCAGTCCCTTTACTCAACTTGATGTAAAGTAGGCGAACAAAATTAGTTACCGTATTTCCCGGCGAATAAGTTTACCCAGTAAATAAGACGAGGCCCGTTTTTAGGCCTGAAAAAATTAGTTTTTGCATATACCCTGCCAATAAGCCGGGTAGTAAAATCGCATCAACATCGAATACCACGCAAAGACTTTTGAGCGGTCGCCGCGTTTGTGCATTGTTTAAAATAGCCTATAATGACTTTTTCTTGTAATATTCAATCCATAACAACAATTCAAACTGTCTTCCAATTTTATAATTGTGTTCAACGTAACTCGCGATGGCGTCCACCATATTATATATATAAGAACATTACCGATCAAAAATAACACGGCAATCTGCGGACATATTAATTTGAGATAAACTGATTATATTTAGTTTTTATAAATAAATTTAAATAGTATCACTGCTCCAAATTACCAACGCATATCCGTGGACATAAACATGTACGATTATATGTTGTTTTGATTCGTATTTTTGCAATTTAAAAACATATCTGAGCTATTGCTGCATCCAATATTCCACTTTATCGCAATTAGGGCCATCCTAAAAAAAAACTTAAATGGCGCTTTTCAATCAAAAAAATTTGGGTCACGTTTTCATTCCTTTATTTATCTTAGCCTGTTGTCACACATGATTATGTAGTAAAGAAAATTTGGGTCACAGATTCACTCTTTTATTTATCTTAGCATCTTGTCTCACATGAATATGTGATAACTCGTATCTCATGACACAAGTGCCATGGCTGCTTGAGAGCAATTATCGTTGTGTATCGGTAATAGCCCTTCACTCGTGATGCACACACAAATGCGGAATATGATAATCGCAGCATTGAAATTCCATATTCACAGTGCGAGAATGCCGATTTATTTAAACCAGTGGTTCTCAACCTTTTACTGACCGCGTACCACTTTACTGTTTTTTACTCTGGCCGCGTACCACCGACAAAGCCACTTTTTTTGGCGTGAGGAAAAATACACAAGAAACATGCTATGGGAGTATTTTATAATGTGGCACTATATCCCTTGTGGCGTAACATGCCCTTATTGCTTCATTTGAGGTGGGCAATAGCGGGCGAGAGCGATCTCTAACGAAAAGGACTGGTAGCGTGTCAGCGCTATGGACGTTTCCCCGAACATTGATCCCGGAAAAAGTTATCCCTATACTTTACTATAGCAAACTTTATACTTATTCTGAGAGTGTTTTGATGTGTTGGCGCATATAAACTGGTTTACGTGTTTGAAACAATCATTTGTATTGAAATTATTCAACCATGTGCCGTTTGCAGGTACTGATATATATAGGTAATATATCTAAGTTTAGCCTTGTCCATCGCAGCATTTGCGAGATCCATTTTCAATTACTGCAACTAAATTAAAGCTCCGCGGAAGACATAATGACAATTAAGTTAATTAATTCACAATTATTTTCTTGAAACACAACTGAAAACTGACAAATATCACTCAAAACTACAAAAACGAAGCAATGTTTGCAACCATGCTTGAATATCTGTTTGGGCGACAGAATTGTCTGAGCGACTGGTTGCAGAAATTGCAATTGTTACCTGTTGCGTCATTATTGACTTATTGCTGATTGGTTATAGTTACGGAAATAAACAAGGAAACTGAAGCTTGGGAAAACATCCATAAACGCTCAGCGAATACATACAGTAAGGAAGATAAAGTGTTGCCGGCCTATTTTAACCAACTGAAAGATTAATTGTTGCAATAATTCAAATCCGCTCGCGTACCACTTGAAAAGCCCCCACAGGCTGAGAACCACTGATTTAAACTAACCTGTTGAAAAGGTGGTTGATGCTATCGCCGAAAGTATTTTATGGTCCGAATTGAATAATAGGTCGACACCAAATATATG